AATACAAGGATCTTGTGTGAATTCATCTTGAGTCCCTCATGATCACTTTTTTATCATGTCAGAAATGACTTGAGAAACTGTAAGTCACTTTTGGTGTGAGAGAATCAGCTGTCTGCAAGGATGTTGCCCATGGGACGCCAGCCAGTTTACCAGCTGTTAGGACTTCTGGGAGTTGAAGGCCAAAAACATCAGGGGACCCACAGGTTGAGAGCCACTGGTTTAAGGGCTGATGTCCCAACTGATCATACCTCTACTGATAGCTGAGCAACAAAAGTGGGCTTGCACTCTTTCGTGTAATCACACATGATGTCACATGTGTTATCTCAATCTTCTAACGCATACTTTAAGGCAGGCCTATAGCTAGGGGGGAGGGGTGTTTAAGGGTTCACACTCCCCCCCCCCCCCCCCCCCCCCCTGAAATGTTTCAGCTTTATTCATGGTTTATTCATGAACTCTTGTCTGCTTGAGGCAAGTGTGAATGTTGGAATTGATTTTATTTTACCTTTGCAGACAAGAGCTTTTTCTCCCACCCTGGTCATTCCACAAATATATGAACCCCACTTGCCTAGTTTCCAACAGACTTCACAACCTCTGAGGATGCCTGCCATAGATGTGGGCAAAACGTCAGGAGGGAATGCCTCTGGAACATGGCCATACAGCCTGAAAAAGTCACAGCAACCCAGTGATTCTGGCCATGGAAGCCTTCGACAACACATTGAACCACTTTTTTTTTAACCTGAAACATTTTGGAGGTGGGTGGGGGTTGAACCTTTTCCCCCCCCCCCCCCCCCCAGTTACTGGCCTGCTTTGGGAGAAACAAGGTTTCCTCTGAAGATGCCACCCATAGATACAGGCGAAACATCAGGAGAAAGTGCTGCCAGAACACAGCCATACAGCCCGAAAACGAGGTTTCTCTCTCGTGCATCCACATTCTCTTAGGGAGCAGGATGTGAGGGAACCCCTTCCAAGCGAAGCTCTTTAGGTGTTGATATGTGAAGCTCTTTAGGTTTAGATGCACAGGATGCTGCACAAGTAAATGCAACTTTTCAGAGTGCCCTTTGAACAAAGCAAGTTTTCTCCTCCCCGCTACACACACTTGTTGGAGGGAGCTGTCCCTGAGGAAACCCTTCTGGGGTCTAGCTCTTTTGTGTAGGCAACATGCATGATGCAGAAGATCTCTTTGGAAGTGCTGCCTTAATCCCCTTCCATGCTGCCCTGTATCCCAGGATCTGATCCCAGATTGTCTGTTTTAAACTAGATTATGTGAGTCTCCACTGCCAGATAATCTGAGATAAAAAGAGAATCTGGCATTAGATCCTGGGCTATAGACTCAGTGAGGAAGGGGCCTTAGAGACCAAGTATCCTTCTCTAGATGTTTTGAAACAGAGGCTGGTTGATCATCCATCAGTGGGAGGGTGTGCTTTGACTGAGTGCTTTTCCTGTACGGCAGAGTGGGGTTGGACTGTCTGGCCCTTTGTGGCCTCTTCCAACTCTATGATGCTATACCGCAGATGTGAAGGCACCCTTCCACTTCACCCTTTGGGAAAGCGAGGGCTGGATTTACACTGATTCCAGAGCATCTGGCAATGTAGACCAGGAACAGGCCAACTTCATTCCTCTAGGGTTTCTGGACTTCAACTCCCACAATTCCTAAAAGCCTGCGAGACATGGACTATCTACAGACATCACATACAACTCCATCAGCGATGCCTCCGAAAAATCCTGCAAATCTCTTGGGAAGACAAGCGGACAAATGTCAGCGTGCTGGAAGAAGCAAAGACCACCAGCATTGAAGTGATGGTCCTCCAACATCAACTCCGCTGGACCGGCCACGTTGTCCGGATGCCCAACCACCGTCTCCCAAAGCAGTTACTCTACTCCGAACTCAAGAGTGGAAAACAGACTGTTGGTGGGCAGGAAAAGAGATTTAAAGATGGGCTCAAAGCCAACCTTAAAAACTCTGGCATAGACACCGAGTACTGGGAAGCCCTGGCCCTTGAGCGCTCCAGCTGGAGGTCAGCTATGACCAGCAGTGCTGTAGAACTTGAAGAGGCACGGATGGAGGGCGAAAAAGAGAAACGTGCCAAGAAGAAGGTGTGCCAAGCCAACCCCAACCGGGACCGCCTTCCACCTGGAAACCAATGCCCTCACTGTGGGAGAAGATGCAGGTCAAGAATAGAGCTCCACAGTCACCTGTGGACCCACTGCCAGGACACTGATCCTGGAAGACTGCCCTACTTGGACAACGAGGGATTGCCTAAGGAAGGACCTAATAACTCCCCCCTTTTTGTTTTTAATATACAATACCATAGCATCATATATTGTGTACAGGCATTCCCCAAGTTACAATCATCCAACTTACTGAGTTACAGTTGTAATGAACTGTATACTCAGATCTCTTCTGACACGATAAATAAATAAATGTACCTGTTCTGACTTACATACAAATTCAACTTATGAACAAACCTACAGAACCTCTTGTTCATAACTTGGGGACTGCCTATACTGGAAATACATTTACATTACATGGGATGAAATCAAATCTCATAAATGACGTCCAATACCATAGAATTATAGAATCATAGAGTTGGAAGAGACCTCATGGGCCATTCAGTCCAACGCCCTGCCAAGAAGCAGGGAAACAACATCCAAAGCATCCCCAACAGATGGCCAACCAGCCTCTGATTAAAAGCCTCCAAAGAAGGAGTTTCCACCACACTCAGAGGCAGAGAGTTCCACTGCTGAACAGCTCTCACAGTTAGGAAGTTCTTCCTAATGTTCAGGTGGAATCTCCTTTCCTGTAGACAGAATAGAGGTGTAACATGATATACACTCTAGACAGGACTGCTTAGTGATTTTTGATATCTCTATCAGCAGTGAAGAATGATGGAAGCTGCATCCCAATACTATCCAGAGAAGTCTCAAAGCTGCACAATATTTCTGTAGTAGGGATGAAGATCTTATAGTCTGTTGAATGGCATTAGATTGCAACTTATTATTAGTGATAGCCAGTAGTACTGAAGGATAATGGGAGCTATGCTTCGATACCATTCAGAGAGGACTCTGGCCCCTTCCACACAGCTGAACAAAATCCCCCATTTTCTGCTTTGAATGGGAATATAAGGCAGTGTGGACTCAGAAAACGCAGTTCAAAGCAGATATTGTGGCGTTTTCTGCCTTGATAATCTGGCTGTGTGGAAGGGCCCTGAGTTCTCCACTTACTCTTGGAGTGTGTGTGAGGAATCCTCTTTGTGGGAGTATCCAGAAAGGCTTCCTATCTCAAACCTCCCAACAGTAACTCCTGAATAAAGAACAAAAACAAAACAAAACAAAACCCTGCAAAATAAAACTGAATCGGAGTGTATTAGGCCAGTGAAAACTTCAGCCCTCCAGGGGTTTTGGACTCCGACTCCCACAATTCCGAACAGCCTACAGCCTCAGGCCCTTCCTCAGAAAAAGGAAGGGGCCTGAGAATGTAGGCTGCTAGGAATTGTGGGAGTTGGAGTCTAAAACCCCTGGAGGGCCGAAGTTTCCCCAGACCTGATATAGAAAAGGAAGGGCCCTGAGTCTGTAAAATTGCCGTACTTTTTTTTACCATAGCTAGCCTCTTCCTCTTTCCTCTTTCCTCCCCGTTAAACTTTCCTACCTCCTTTTACCCCCCCCCCTTTTTAAAAAATATATGTTAAATATTTTTTATTTTTTATTGTCTCCTAAAAATTGAATAAAAATTATTAATATTAATAAGGAATTGTGGGAGTTGGAGTCCAAAACCCCTGGAGGAGCAAAGTTTCCCCAGGCCTGCCATAGACGCCTCTAATCCAGTTGAAAGCAGGTAATCTGCTTTCAGTCCCTCTCCAATGCCAGAAATACAGCTTAATGGTGTAATATTAGAAAATGTTGACCATTTCCGCTACCTTGGCAGCCATCTCTCCACCAAAGTCAGCACTGACACTGAAATACAACACTGCCTGAGCTCTGTGAGTGCAGCATTTTCCCAAATGAAGCAGAGAGTGTTTGAGGACCGGGACATCCGTAGGGATACCAAGGTGCTTGTTTATAAAGCTATAGTCCTCCCAACTCTACTATACCCCCATAAGACTTGGAGTATCTACAGATGTCACATGCAACTCCTGGAACGATTTTATCAGCATTGCCTCTGAAAAATCCTGCAAATCTCTTGGGAAGACAAGCAGACAAATGTCAGCGTGCTGGAAGAAGCAAAGACCACCAGCATTGAAGCAATGGTCTTCTGCCATCAACTCCGCTGGACCGGCCACGTTGTCCGGATGCCCAACCACCATCTCCCAAAGCAGTTGCTCTACTCCGAACTCAAGAACGGAAAACAGAATGTTGGAGGACAGGAAAAGAGATTTAAAGACGGGCTCAAAGCCAACCTGGCAAGACGATATATATGAGGATACGGTTTTATGGTTCTATCAGTGGGTTTGTGGACTGAGTATTGTTTTAATGACTGTTATGATAATTGGTTATAATTAATTGCTATTGTTTTCACTCTGTATGTATTTATGGTTTTATACTATGTTATTGCATGTGGCATCAAATTGCTGCCTTTGTTAGCCACTCAGAGTCCCACCCTCCCCCTGGGGGGGTTGACAAGGGCGAGGTAAAAATGCTGTAAATAATAATAATAAATAAATAAATAAATAAATAACCTTAAAAACTCTGGCATAGACACTGAGAATTGGGAAGCCCTGGCCCTTGAGCACTCCAGCTGGAGGTCAGCTGTGACCAGCAGTGCTGCAGAATTTGAAGGGGTACAAATGGAGGGTAAAAGAGAGAAACGTGCCAAGAGGAAAGCCAACCGGGACCGCCTTCCACCTGGAAACCAATGCCCTCACTGCGGGAGAAGATGCAGGTCAAGAATAGGGTGAACCCACCAGGACACTGATCCTGGAAGACTATCCTACTCGGACAATGAGGGATCGCCTAAGTAAGTAAGTAATCTGGGCTGGTGAGAGTTAGGGTTAAAACTGACCCACCTGTCGATGCTGATCACGCAGAGGGTCATGATGGAGGCGGTGCAGCACATCACGTCCATGGCGATGAAGACGTTGCAGAAGACGGCCCCGAAGATCCACTCTCCGCCGATGAGGTCGGTGACGCTGACGAAGGGCATGACGGCCACGGCCACGGAGAGGTCGGCCAGGGCCAGCGAGACGATGAGGTAGTTGGAGGGCTGCCGCAGCTTCTTGACGAAGCAGACCGAGATGACCACCAGGCAGTTGCCCGCGATGGTCAGCAGGGTCAGCAGCGAGAGCACGGCCCCGATCAGCACTTTCTCCGCGTCGCCGTAGCCCAGGATCTGCTCCCCGCACTGCGTCTCGTTGCTCCCGCCGGCGGAGGTGACGGCGGCGTCGAAGCTGCTCCGGGTGCTGCTACTACTCCCGCTACTACTACTCCCGCTGCTACTACTCCCGACCCCGCTGGCATCGCCTCCTTCGGCCTCTCCTCGGGCGGTGACCCCTTGCAAGAGCTTCCCGCTGATCCCTAAGCGAGGCGGGTGGAGGGAGCCCGCGATCATGGTGCCCGAGCCCAGGAGGAGGAAGAAGGGGGAGAGGAGGGCGAAGAGGAGGACGAGGACGACGAGGAGGAGGAGGGCCGCCCGCCCGCCCCCCGCATGCCCTCCTCTCCCCGCGACGGTGCCTCCCAGCGCTCCGGCCTCCCGCCCGACAAACAAGCAGCAAAGGCTGTCTTCGCCGTCCAAGCAGCAGCCCGAGCCCTCCTTCCCGCCACTTCGAGGGCATGCTCCGCCGAGGAGGAAGGTGGAAGCCCGCCTCCGAGGGGGCCGTGCCAGACTCAGCCCGCTCGCCCCCACCAGACACCGACGGACATGGCAGACCCGAGAGGAGAGAGACAGAAAAGGCGGCCGCTCAGTCGCTACTGAGCCGCGGAGAGGAAAGGCAGAGGCGCCCCTCGCTGGCCGAGCCTCCCTCCTCCGCCACGACGACGACGACGCCTCCTGCCTCGGGTGGAGAGGAATTAAAAGTTTTGAATGGCTTTATGTCGCGGCTGAGGAAAGACTGGAGAAGCGCCTCTCGCAAAGAAGTTGGGAGTCGAGGGAAAAGGGCTGTCTCTCTCTCTTCTTTCTTTGCCCTCCTTTTTATGAGGAGGACCCCTCTCGCTTGACTCTCTGCTCAATAAAGGTTGGCCGTCTCTTTCCCCGAACCGAAAGAGACGCGGTCATTACTCGCTTCTGAGGGGAAAAGGTGGAGCTGAGGGAGAAAAGGGCGCACAGTCACCGCGACGACGCCTCTTTCTGCCCGCCTTTACCTTTAGGGCATGCGAGGGAGTGCTTCTCTCTCCCTCTCCGTCTCTCCCAGTCTTTCCCCCTCCCTCTCGCTCCCTCTTTCTTGCCCTCTCTCCCTCTTCTCTCTCCCTTTCTCCCTCCAACTTTCTCCCCCTCCCCTCCTCTCTTTCTCATTCCCCTCCTTCTCTCATTCCCTCTCCCCCCTCTCCCTCACTCTCTCTTTCTCCCTCTCCCCTCCCCTCCCTTGTTCCCTCTCACTCCCTCTCCCTCTCATTCCCTCTTGCTCCCTCTCTCACACCTTCTCTCCCCTTTCCCCTTCCCTCTTTCTCGCCCCCTCCCCTTCTCTCTCCCTCCACCTTTCTCCCCTCCCCTCTCTCCTTCAATTTCCCATTCCCCTTCCCTCTCTCTTTCCCTCTACCTCACCCACTCCCTTGCCCTCTTCCTCTCCCTCCCCCCCCTCCCTGCCTCTCTTTCCCTCTTTCTCCCTCCTTCTCACTCCCTCCCTCCCTTTCCCATTTCTCCTCCCTCCCCCTCTCCTCTCCCCCTCACCCATTCTCGCCCTCTTCCTCTCCCTCCCTCCCCCTCTCCCTCCATGTCTCCCTCTTTCCCCCTCCCTCTCACTCACTCCCACCCTACCTCCCTTTCCCATTCTCCCTCTCTCCCCCCTCTTTTTCCCCTCTCCCCTTCTCTCTCACCCATTCTCGCCCTCTCCCTCCATGTCTCTCTTTCCCTCTTTCCCCCTCCCTCTCACTCACTCCCACCCTACCGCCCTTTCCCATTCTCCCTCTCTCCCCCCTCTTTTTCCCCTCTCCCCTTCTCTCTCACCCATTCTCGCCCTCTCCCTCCATGTCTCTCTTTCCCTCTTTCCCCCTTCTCCTCCCTCCTCCCTCTCTCCCTTTCCCATTCCCCCTCTCTCCCCCTCTCACTTTCCCTTTACCTCTCTCTATCACCCATTCTCTCCCTCTCCTTTCCTCCCCCTCCTTCCTCCTCTCCCTCCATGTCTCTTTCCCTCTCTCCCTCCCTTTCCCATTACCCCTCTCTCCCCTCACTCTTTCCCTCTCCCTCTCCCTCAACCCATTCTCTCCCTTGCCCTCTCCCTCCGTCCCCTCATCCTCCCTCTCCCTCCATGTCTCTTTCTCCCTCTCTCTCCCCTCCCCTCTTCTCGCCCTCTCTCCTCCTTCTCTCTCCCTCACTCCCCCTCTCTTTCTCCCTCCACCTTTCTCCCTTCTCTCCCTCCCTTTCCCATTCCCCCTCTCTCATCTCTCTCTCTCTTTCCCTCTCCCTTCCCTCAGCCTTTCTATCCCTCACCCACTCTCTCCCTTCCCCTCCCTTGCTCCCTCCATCCCTTTCTCCCTATCTATCTTTCCTTTCCCTCCCTTTCCCCCTCCTTCTCTCCTTCACTCCCTTTCTCTCCATCACCTTCTCCCTCCACCCTCTCCCCTCCCTCTCTCTTTCTCGCCTTCTCTCTCCCCTCTCCCTCCATCTCTCCCTCATTTCCCCCTCCCTCTTGCTCCTGCTTTCTCACCCTCTCTCCCCTTCTCTCTCCCTTGTTCCCCCTCCCTTTCTCTCTCCATCCACCTTTCTCCCCCTCTCTCACTCCCCTCCCCTCTCTTCCTTTCCCATTCCCCTCTCCCTCTCTTCCTCACCCTTTCTCTCCCTCACCCTCTCTTGCTCCCTCTCTCTTCCTCATTTCCTTCCTTCCCCCTCCCCTTCTCTCTCCCTCCTTTTCTCACTTTCCCTCTCCCTCCTTCACTTCCTCTCTCTCCACGCTCCCTCACTCCATATCCCTCCTCTCCCACACCCTCCCTCTCTCTCTTTCTCAACTTTGTGTTCAATAAAGCCTCCGAGAAGCAACTTCCTCACTTCTGAGAAATTGAGGGGAAAGTGGCACCCCTCAGTGGCTTCAGTGGCCTCAGTGGCCTCTTTCTTCTTGCCTTTCCCTTCAGGGGTTAGCAATATAGTTCTTACATGGACCTCTCTTTCTTGTCCCTCCTTATCAACCTTCTGTTTAATAAAAGTTTACTGTCCCTTATCCAGCACTTCCAGAGATATGACTTTTCCTCACTCCTGAGGAGAGAAGTTGAGGGGAAAGTGGTGCTTCTCGCTGGCCTCAGTTGCCCCTTTCTCATCTTTCTTTTCACCTTTCCCTTCAGGGCATGGCAATGTGGTTTTTAAGTGGAGCTCTCTTCCTTGTCCCTCCGTATCTGGACTTCAATAAAGGTTGAATGTCCCTTATCCAGAAGCCTTAGAGATGAGACCCTTAGTTATGAGGAGGAAAGCGGGAGCTTGGGGATCAGGGAAGGGGACCACCTTCTTTTGCATTGCTTTTGGTGCTTTTCTGGGATAATAACTGTCTCCCTCATCAAACATGTATCTCTTGCTGTTTTAACATCACCCACTCCATTGGTCTGTATAAAATACAGTTGAGACATCCCATGGCAGCTGTCATTACATCTTCAAGTAGCCACCAGCACACCTTTAAGTAGCCATCTTTCCCTTCTTCCAAGCGAATTGAGAGGTCCCATGTGCTATTACTTGAAAAAATCCTCTGTGATTGTTCTTGTGGAAGTATTTTTTAATGTGAGATCATTCAACGGGATGGTACTGTTATGTTATCCAGGTGGAAGCCACTAGGGGGTGCTAGAGAAGGATAGTACATTTTATGGAGGTGAAGAGTGGGTTGAAGGAGTAAAACCATTTCCCCATTTTTCTGTTATTCCCATGTCTCTGTCGTGGAAACAAGCCTCGTTTATAATATGGGAAGGGGGAAGGCGGAATAACTGGCAAAAACGGAGGAAATGGTTTTCCTCCTTCAATTCCCCTCCCCCCATATACAGTGTTCCCTCACTTATCGCGGGTGTTACATTCCAGGACCACCCACGAAAAGTGAAAATCCGCTAAGTAGAGACTATATATATATACATATATATAATACCGCATTTTGAGGGTGAGGCAGAAGCAAGGAGAGATTTAAAGGCACCACACATCTTTTTTTTTTTTTTTGCTAGCTATAAGGAAAGGGCTATAAGGCCGTGATTTACATTCTGCTTTGTAGCTCCTTTCTCCCTTTTTTATGATTGGGGAAGGGCGAAACCCCTTTCCACACTCCATCGTTGCCAGGAGGCAAAAACCCAAAAAACAGTCTGCAAAAAGCGAACCACAAAGTAGCGAGGAAACACCGTATTGGACTATCCTTCTCTCTATTGTGCCACCTTGTGGCCTCCACTAGGATAATGGAACAGTGCCAACTGGATTTCTTCTATATTATTCTATATTATAATTTCTCTTTATAAGTACAGATACTAGGCCTGGGTAACAACGGAAAAATTTGTTTCTAAAATCGATTCGTTTTTTGGGGTTTTTTTGTTTCGATATTTAAAATAATTACAAAATTTTCCCTTAAAAAAGTTTGGTATTTACGAAATTTCGTTAATATTAACGAATCAATTCGTTAAAATGGCGGACGCGGTTGCGCAACGTGAAAATAATAGTTTTAAATAATAGTTTTAACCTCGGAGAAGGAAAGAGGGGGGAAAGAGAGAGAGAGGAGGGGTGAAATCTCTATTCTGGTTTGACAATGCTTCTCAATAATAATAATAATAATAATAACAAACCACTTTCTGCCTTCGTGCATGTAAGGCACAGTGAAAGCACTACTGAAAGATGGCCATCCATTCTTAATAATAATAATAATAATAATAATAATAATAATAATAATAATAAATATAATAGTTTTAACCTGGAGAAGGAAAGAGGGGGGAAAGAGAGAGAGAGGAGGGGTGAAATCTCTATTCTGGTTTGACAATGCTTCTCAATAATAATAATAACAATAATAATAACAAACCACTTTCTGCCGTCGTGCATGTAAGGCACAGTGAAAGCACTACTGAAAGATGGCCATCCATTCTTAATAATAATAATAATAATAATAATAATAATAATAATAATAATAATAAATATAATAAATATAATCGTTTTAACCTGGAGAAGGAAAGAGGTTAGGCAGGCAACAGGCAGGTTGGAGTGCCTCTTGGAGTGCATGCTAGGAACTCTTTTTGTGGGAGTATCCAGAAAGCCATTCTATCTTGAACCTCACAACAGCAACTCTTGGACAAAAAAACCCTACAAAATAAAGTGAATTGGAGTATATTCATTGACAGTAAGTTGGCAATGATTTCTTGGTGCACTAAACATATTGCAACGCTAGCCAAATTTAGCTAAAGATGGCATCTCTCCTCTGGATGAATGCCTGGAGGAAGTAATGCACAGGATAAGGGAAACAAATTGAAACTGAATCCAGACAATATAGAGATGCTTGTCATCAAAGGCCCTATCATGGGGGTGGAGGTATGTCAACCAGTTCTGGATGGGGTTAACACCCCCCCCCCCCGGAAAGACTGTGTTCACAGCTTGGGAATGCTCCTGGATCTGTCTCCAAATGTCAGCCCAGGTAGATGCAATGGTCAGGAGTGCTAACTATCAGCTTTGGTTGATATGCCAGCTGTGCCCCTTTGGATGTCCTAAAGCTGGTAGTGGTAATCTAAAGGTTAGACTTCTGCAATGTGCTTTACATTGGGCTATCTTTGTATCAAGTTCAGAAACTCCAATTAGTTCAAATGACAGCAGCTAGATTAGTTACAGGAACATCCAGGAGTGAGGATGTTACACCTATACTACAGTCACTCCACTGGTTGCCAATTAGTTTCCAGACAAAGTACAAAGTGTTGATTTTGACCTTTAAAGCCCTACATGGTTTGGGTCCAGGTTACCTACAGGATCGCCTTCTCCCATACAATCCGTCCCAAACCCTTATGTCCTCAGGGAGATGCTTACTCCAAACAACCAGAACCTGACTGGCATCCCAGAGGACCTTTTCATCAGCTGCCCCATGACTGTGCAATGACCTGTTGGAAGAGGTCCAACAGATAAATCAGTTGTCAGAATATAAAACACATCAGAAGGCCTATCTCTTCTGGCAGACTGACCCAGTCAATTTTAACATGTAAATTTTAACATACAGGGTGAGTTTTAATCTGTATTTTATCTGTGTATATTGGTTATATGTATTTTAATGGTGTTTTGATTTATTTCGCTATTTCAACCATGTTGTACCCTGCCTTGAACCACAAAGAGAGGGAGGTAATAAACATGGTGATATGGCTAACAATACTGTTTTTATTGTTTTAATTAATGTTCTATTTATTGTTTTAAATTGTTGTTATATTATTGCATTGATAGATGTTGCGGCATTGAATGGTTCCCAAGTGTAAGCCGCCCTGAGTCCCTGTTAGGGGGTTGAGAAAAACGGGATAGAAATGCTGGAAATAAATTATTATTATTATTATTATTATTATTATTATTATTATTATTATTATTACTACTAGAAACACAGCAAGATGAGTCCACAGCAGACAAGATCACTCTGCTGGCTGTTGTATTGGATCACACGTCGGGCACTTCATTTGCTACATTATATGACAGTGTAGATAGGGTTTTCATTTGGTCCCACTGACTACATAGCACACCATATTTATAATTGTCATCAAATATATGGATTTCTATAGCACAACAGTCAGAAGAAACAGTTTAAATTCAATGCTGTCCAAGAAAAGCTGTGCTAAGTATCAGAGAAAGAGAGACTAAAGCAAAAGAAAGGCAAAAGATCCATGAAGTCAAATCAGAGAAGTGAAAAAGCTAAAAATCATAGAAGCGTCTTGC